TTTTAATGTTTTATTGTGACTTGTGTGATAGTCTACATGGGAGAACATCAGCTTTACATTTATTCCATCATCCATCATTTCATTTGCATAGTTACCATCCGATCTATGCATCCTCACCCAACCAAGGGGTGTACCATGTAAACCTGCACCCCCCCACCACAGTCCTCAGCCCCTTTCCATTTCCTGATCCCGAGTTCCCAGCCACATCATCTCTTGATGTCGTCTTCTCTGCCTCCATCTCAGGCCTCACGACCTCTCTGGGTAGGATTCCGCTCTTCACTCTTCTCCATCAATGGTCCCAGGGTCCTCCGCTCCTAGACTGATAAGTTAATCATTCCCCTCTTTGCTACAAAATGTCCATCTTTAGATTTCCAACCCTCACAATCAGTCCTGATAACAATTACTCACCATTACATCACAAGAGACCCATCTGTATTTCGTTTCAACAGCCCTTCCTGGACAGGCTGGACACTATTCACTGGAGACTCTACCTTCCTCCATGCCCTTTGGATCTATGTTCCCTCTTGAAAGCTTGTAAGCCAGTCACTTCTTGCCTTTGTATTCCTCCCCCCATTTTGGGTAACCAATGCCCATCCCTGTCTACCCTTTGTGTGAAGGGGGTGGGAATAGTTCTTGCAGCAGGGATTTGTTTCCTTTTTTGAGCTACTGCATTTATAGGTGTAGGTCATGTTTATCGAATTGTATCAGATGATGCTTTTTTTCCCTCTTCTTTCTTTTTCGGGTTGAGCTCTGTTTATCCAGTCATTGAAGTCTGGTCAAATGGGCATCATCTGCAAGTGTGGCTGTTCTTACGTCTGTCAGGCCTCTTTTTATCGGCTGGCCACCCGGCTCTTCACTCTAGACCTCTGTGGCTGTGTCATTGACTCTGAGCCCATGAGTCTCCAGATGTTGCCTCGCTACTGGCCGACCAGGTCTCTATCTGGGTTCACAGTAGTTTGCTGAACGATGTAGGGCTTAGCTCGCCACTTCATTGATATTATTTGGTCACTTCCCCTTCTGGGTGACGTGTGTCATTGTCAGTCAAAGTGTATATTTCCCTTGCGTCTTAGTCTTGGAAGAGAATTTGCATTGAGAGGATCCGACCACTTGCCTTGATGTCTCCTGGGCAAGCCACCTGTATGTTCTTGTGGTAACAGTCGGACTGCCCTTATTGTTTTGTATTTTTCCTGTAGGTCCTTCTTTCAAGAAGTA